TTGGTTAAGATGCTGGGTCTTTGAGAATTTTTGACCAAATTTGTGAAATTTATAACGAAAATGGCACCACTGGCTGTGGTTTTGGAAGCAGAAATGGAGCTACCCTAACACACAGCACTGCACTGCCTCAAGTATGATTTTTACATACAGTTGTTGACATTTAACTCTTCGTCTTCCAGTCTTCTTCTTCTCCCTTTGTTCACAAAGGACTACTAAAGCCCAGCCAAATATTGCAATGCCAGTTTTTCTGAAAGTTTGCTTATAGCCCAACAGGCGAGGAAGTCCTCTCTACCTCAGTTGGCTTCACAGCCAAAGCTGTCAAGGAAAGGGTGAAAAGTAATTGTTTTCAAGTGTGCCCTTTTACAATCATTTGTTTGCTCTGGCTCTTTCACGAACAAAGGCTATTGTTGAACACATCCAACTAAACAAATAACTCATCTCGGAGTCCCTTTAACAGCTGCCTTAGTACAATGATCTATTTACATATTACCCTAAAAATTGAAACCGAACTCTTTAATGACATAATCCAGTTCTATAGTACAGAAGAAGCATATGTTCAACCCAACAGCTGAACTATCTCCTAAGCATATGATTTTTAGACATAAATGCTTGCATGTCAAATACAGCTTAGTGCAATGACTTATTTCACCATGGGTTGGGTTTTTATGGGTTAGCATCAAAACAATGTTGCCTTTCGTTCTAGATATGACCAGGGTGCACAAAACAGATGACTACATTCATCGTAAAGAATTTCTGTCCACTGTGCCTTCCTCTGGTTCTTCTTCCTTGCACTATTCTTTTTGTTGATAAACCAATGTTGTATACTGTGCTTTCCTCCACGCTCTGGGATTTATCTTACCTTTAGTCTTTGTGTTTTACTGTCATGTGGCAAAAGATTAAAGGATGATCTTACAGATGTTGTAACTTATTCAGCAGCAGGCATAATCATTATTAGGCATGTTGCAATAAAAGTTTGGGAGTTTTACATATTTTCCAGAGCACAGTTAGTTTAAACGACTGAAATTCGATGTTTTCACACACAACATCAAAAATTGAAGCAGGAAATTAGTTTACATTTCTTCAAAAGACCAAAAGCCATTGTCAACCGTAGGGTCATTTGCAAAGCGGAGAACCAACAAAAAAAGTTCATTCAGATAAGTATTGCAGCTTTCACTTACAACTGATTTAATATACTCCAGGATAAATACGTTATCAATTTACTGAGATTCAGAATAGAATGGTTGTCCTATCTCCCAGCCAGTAGAGAGTTACACATCAGACCTCACACAGAGCAAACGTTACCACCCGATTTTGCTTTAGCATTCTAAAAGTTAAATAACATACTTGATTTTCAGATAATTGATTGACTCTGATTCCTTAATCTTCCGATTAGCTATTATATGACCAAGATTCATTCCAGAAATGACATGAGGGGGTGAATTCCTGTGGTTAATTCCTGGATAGCAGCTGCTCAGGGGGATTAGGATCCTTTTGTCTTAATTCTGAGGACTGAAATATTGGCAAGCATTTCTTCTTCTGTATCACCAGGCAACGTCAATTACATTTTCCACAAGAAACAGTAAATTAGCTTTGATATCCTGTAATTTCTTTTTTTCTTTTTTTCTTTTTTTTTTTCCTGTTCATAATTCTTTCTGGAGTCTTCCAGTAGAAGTGGTAGAATTTTATATTTGCATCACTGTGGAGTTAATTCAATAAACAGACTGAATATTTACCTAGTAATACCTCGTGTTTACTTGCACTTCTAAACACACCATCGTACCGCTACCACAAGAAAGCCTACTGCTTGAGATTGACTCACTGATGAAAAAATCTGAGACTTCTGCAAAGTAGGTGATACTACTGAATATAGGCAAGGACTCTGAAGAGTCTATAGTCATGGTGCACTTTCATTTGGTGGAAAGACCAAAGTGGTCGTTTCATCCTTACTTAAGGAGAACTTCCAGCTTGCTAATGTCATCAAGTTCTTAAAAAATTGCATTTATGGACAGTGCTTTCAGTCATCCGCTGCTGAACCCAGACTTTGTTCCATTTGGCAGACAATGATTTGACTGAACTGTATACACCGCTTCCCATCAGAACACCAAGGTACTTTGTCAGGATGCCATCATTCTTTAAGAAAGTCCAGATGATGCAGATAATTGCCTCAGCATTGTGCATTACTGCAAGCACCTTGACTGCAATCACAGAGACTATTAAGTCAAGTTCAAAGTTGTAGCTATTATTTACTTTGGTCATACTATAATTGTAGCTATAATTATATTTTTAGTTCTTGTCCTTGAGGCATGTTTCCCAGATCTGTCACATCTAGAACAACATCTGAAACTCAAGAAGGAAGGCTAAGGTTAACAGTTGTGCTGCTATGGCCCAAGGAAAAAGTCTAGCAAAAGAACCCTTTTTTTTTCTTTTTATTATTATTATTATTTATTTCTGGAGAGGAGTTCAAGCTGTGGAAGGAATTCAGTAAACTCAGGGTGAAGACAAACCTTTCACCATACATGCAACGTGCAATTAATTGGCCTTCAAGTTACATAGATAAATAAATAAATAAGCCTTGGGGGGAGGACTGGGAAGATATGAGACAATTATAATCCCAAAGAAGATCTGAAGAGAGATAATAAACCATACATGGCTGATGTTAGTCACACTACTTAATTGCAGATGCTGTGAAGATGAAGATAATCTGCGAAGAGAGAGTGTAAAGAACACAACATGTAATATACTCAGTGATTTCAGCAAATCTGGAGGAATTATATTGAAAGCCAATGGCATCTCTTCCAGAATAGGGGTGGAGGCCAAATGGTGTTCTTCCCATCAGTGGTCTAAAGTTCAACACTAAACTTTACTAAACATTTCACTTAGCCTTATGACAATACATAGTTAAGACTTAATTTTCCTTGAAAGAGTTTATCTTCTAACTTAATGCTCCTTTAAACAGGATTTTGTGTAACCGCGCAGGCCGTGTATTGTATAATAGTTTGAACACATAGCTGTTTAAAACAATGGGGAGTGCATTTCTCTCAAGTGGTTTATGCTTGCGTAATTATGATATGTAAATAAAGCGATGAGTTCAGAACTGTGTTACCAAACTGCTGCGCCCCAGAAGGCAGCCAGCCTATGAGACAGTATACTCAAACATAGTAAGAGTCTTCATGCGCCGAATAACTAATTTTATCAAAAGTGATTTAGATAATTCCCATCTATGTTATCCTGCAGGGAAATGACACATTGTAAAGTCATTCTACAAAACAAGTCAGATATGAACTCCAGCAAAACTTTGTTGCTATTTTCAAATGCAACATTTACAAATATTTATACATTTTATGGAATATAAATACTTACAGCATTAATATTTCTTAAAATAAGCCTCTTACAGTCTTTGTTTATAGCCACGTTAAACAAACAGTTGAAATAACCTGAGCTTTGTTTTTGCATTGGATCGGATTCAGTCCTTCTCAGCTGAGAACACATTTCCCATTATCCACCATTGGGATGAATGATCAAAAAACAGCCCATGTGGTTAACAATAGATTAACAAAGTGCACTGCATTCAAAGACTAATAAAGACAGCTATGCTGTTTTCCATTATTTTTCACGATTTGATGACATTGCGCTCCTTAGGCTCGTGTGTTTACTTACACACATCATCAATCGTGGTTTAGTGCTTCTTCAAGTACTATGCATAATATATGCTCTTTTTTCAGGAGAAAGTTATGCTTTCAAAATTGAGAGAAACAAGATGCTATGAACAAATTCTTTTTCTCCCTTATGAAACGTCTGAAAACATACAGCTTTTTCCACCAAGTAGTCTGCATTAGAGAGTGCAAAATGGAGAGCAGCATTTAAAAAACGAACAATCCCAGGCACCTGCCGAACTACACAGCAAGCACCTCAGTAGCCAGACTGTGGCACAGTTCAAGATACACCTAACTTAACAAATACCTGCATGTGGTTTCCCTGATGTGTTTGATGGTAGAATTTTTGCTTGTACTCTCTACATACTTGAATAGGTCACCTTTCAAGCTGTGTTTTTAGGTATTTCTCATAAATGAGCAGAAGGCCTGCTGCTGTAGATCCTGTATAAATGATCAGCCTAGTTCACAGATTGCTTGTGCGATAAGAGTTTGCAGGTGTGAATCCATAAAATAATTTCACTGCTATTATTCTTATCTGGGAAAGAGAAGCAAACACTTGAAATATCACTGTACTAATGGCATATTGCAGATTTCATTGTAACAATTTTTGTACCTGATTCTTCTGGAAAACTGACATGAAACATGATGCATTTATTACAGACTGTATTGGTTCTATTAGCATAATTTATTACATTAGATCATAAAATCTTTATGTGTAAGATGGAGAAATAGGTCATGTGCTGATTTGTCTTTGGTTTGTGGCTTGCAGATACTTTCCGTCACGAACAACACAGAATGTGCGAAGCTACTGGAGGAAATCAGATGTGCACACTGCTCACCTCATGCCCAGAATCTTTTCCACTCACGTGAGAAAGGGGAAACTTCTGAAAGAGAACTAACTCTTCCCTACTTGTGCAAAGACTATTGTAAAGAATTCTATTATACTTGCAGAGGTAACTTACCAGGTAAAACCTATAACAAAATATGGAACTAAAGGATGCCTGCTTTGAAATGTTGATATTGCCTGAGTAGTCATAGATCCAACACTTAACCAGATGAAATCACCGCTGATATCTAGGGGATTTTGCCCAAAGACAGAATATTTCAGGGCCTCTGTGGTGATTCTTTCTTACGTGGAGAGTCAATATTTTGAGCTCTGCTATTCAGCTCTCCATGAAACACAGGGTTATTTGTTATCAAAGGCACCTGAAGCTATTACCTTTTTTGTATGTTGGTGTGTTCACTCAAATCATGTAAGCAATTAGTCAGCCATCCAAAAGGCTATTCTAAATGACAGGTAGCTTTCAAATACAAGAAAGAAAGAGTGCTGGCACTGCAAGCTGCAGACACTACAGGCTGATAAATAAAGTGTTTTTTCTGGGTATGTTACCCTAGGATCTTGAGAGTTTTTTCCGTAGTTTTAAAGCCCCTTGAAATCAAAGGGAGCTATGTGATAGACTTCTGTGATCTTTGAATTGGTTCCAACATGCTGTTAACAACCAAATTCTGAACTAACCTAACACTTCCTCACTAGAGCCAGAAAAGTTAGCTTGACAAAACCATCAGCAGAATGTGACCGGTATTGTCTAAGGCAGTCACCAAATGTGTGCTATCACTTGTAAATAAATCAACAAAATAGCCACTGAAGATGGTCATTTTAGAAACACTGCTGTAATGTACTACTGTATTAAATCACATCTCTGGTATTCTCAATAGTAAATTATTTACATGTTGAAGGCTGTCATTTTTAAACTATGCTTTTTTTCTTTTTCCAAACAGTGCTTATAAATAAAGTCACACAGGAGAAAATAATTAAACCGGTTAAGATTTTTGATTAGCAACACAGACTGGAAAGCAGAGTTCATAAGGATAAGAAAAATGAATTTACAAATAGTACTTTTTGATATATGAACAGAGCTTTGCAATAGAACATAAACGTATTTAAGTAAAGGGGATAGTTTAAGTGGATGAGATTTGGAGGAGGGTTTTTAATTGCATGTGCACAGTGTGTACTTGTTTTCTATGAAATCCCAAGAGTGCAGTGATTTTTTGCAATGTTCTTTTATTGGCTTGAGAAAATATTTTGAATTGACTTACTTTTTCCCCTTTACTGTGGTTTAACATGTATCTCAACCCATTCAAATATGAAAATATTATTATTGTCTTTATAAACTAAGAGATGTTTCTAAGGCTTTCTCAAACCAGCTGTTTCTTGCTCTTTATCACATTCCCCAAAGCAAAGCAGAATGGATCACAGTTGCCAAGACTGCCTGCTGAACAGTGATAATAGATTAGATATTTTGGATGTTTAGCCCATGTGAGAAGTCAGCACAAGGAGTTTTTTTTTACATGAGTTGTAACTAATGCAAACGATGAGCATATTCGGCAGAGCAAGTCGCTTACGGTTGTTTAGTGAAATTCTGAGTTTCTGAGGAAACAACTTCTTTTAATTGGAAAAAGTGAAAGGGGGGAAAGGGGAGGAAAAAGGAGGAGATGGAGAGAGCGAGAGAGAAAAGAGAAAGGGCTGAGCAGCACAGGAGCTATAGCCACAGGAACCTCACTCCTCAGATCAACATATGTGGTGACGAATGACAAATTTATTTTTCTACAAAGTTTGTGTATATGTAAAACTGCTGAAGTGCATCAAGATGTCAAGTGCTTTCTGTGACCACCCAGCTTGCCTTGAAAGATAACCAGATGAAAGCATAACTTTAGCACTGGACAGAGCACTGTGCTTTGCAGGAAAAGAGCTTACATACTTTAGCATCAGTTAAAATAGGATTTTTCCTACATCAATCAGACACTAATAATCATTCTATATACTTCTTCTGAAAGTGGGTAGTATTAGAAAAAAAAAAGTTGTTGCGTACTTGCAGCCAGAAGCAGGGTTCTTTAGGTGGTCTGGTTGGTCCACATGATTGTGGATGCCTACACCAGTATTTGACGAAGGTACTAGAATTCATGCTCATCTTTTTGAGAAGACTGCATGTAGGATTTCAATATGGTTTAATGTACAGTTGAAAATGTAAATAATTAAAAAGGCAGCTAATTAGGTCTTTCGTTTTTCTTGTGAGACCCATCTGTCCGTAATATTTATTACAAAAGGAAAAAGGAAAAACATGGAAGCTGTGTTTTCAGTTTTGCCTGGAGGATTAAACAAAGAGTTGGAAATTAACAGGCCCCTAGACCAGAGGTCTCTGCCAGAGATTCACTCTGCATTAGTTAAAAAGTCAAATAATTTCTTCCATTAAGGAGTGCTAATTGTTCCTGAACACATAGAAAGGACTGTAAGGAAAGTGCTGACTATAAAAGTAATTCTAGCCCTTATGTGCTGCACAAATTAGAAATGTTATTAGCAATTGAAGAGAACAAGCACCTTTTCTAGAATTCAAATGTTAGCAGTACAAATTAACCAAGAAGACTAAGAAACTACACACTAGTTTTCTGATGACTTGGCTCCAGAAATTCATTTCTTGTTCTTTTTCTAGTTGCAAAGATGAAAATGGGCACATATCATTGGTTGATTCTTTTGAAGATAGCAGTCTGCCCACCAGTTAGGAGTGTATCAGGATTTCCAGTGACTTATTTAGTAGTTTTGAATGTCCACAGATTAAGAGGGCCCACTTATTTACTCAAGCAGAATAACTGGAAGCTGTTAGCATTTTATGGATGTTTTACTGAAGGAGGGCGCAGCGTTTCACGAAATCTGACTATGGAAGTTCCCTGCTTCATACTGGTTGACTTTGGTCATTATTTCTCATCTGATCATTACTGTGAATTTCAGTTTAAGTGATTACTGATGGGAAGCTGGAGTTAACAAAGACTCTTCAAACAATAGGAATTTTAAGTTTTACAAGATCATAAGAGAAGACTGTCTAATTTTTATTATTAACGCAGCTACATAAGGAAAGGCATGGCCAATTCTCCCTCCTGGCATGAGCAAACACTTGATTCATGCCCATAGTGGCAACATATTCTAAAGAACAAACCTGTGCCTCAGCCACAGAGGGTTCTGCCAACCAAAGACATTGGACAGATTTTGAACTACATGCACTGCCTCATTTCCATTTGAAGAAATAGATTCCAGATGACTGTGTGTGAATCCAGATCCAGGCCTAGATCTGAGCACAGGCATTGCCAGAACAGATGGTAGATAGTATTTTTTATTCTTTTTTTTACTCCAAACAGGGGCACCCCAGCCCAAAAAAGGAAAGAACAACTGAGAAATTCTGCAACTGAAACAACACCTCCAGAAGTTCTGGTGTGGTCTACTTATAGTTATCGTGCACATAGTCAACCTGGAGAATAATAGTAGTGATGCTACTGCTGATAAGAACAGCAGGAGGACTAACCGTGACACTGCTTTTGTTAAGGTACCTGCAATGCAGCAGTGCAGCAAGAGCTACAAGTCACTTGAAAACCAGTAGGAAGTGATGTCAGCTACCACTGCACATAGTATGTTTTGAACAAATCAGCCTGTAATCACCTCTTTGCTTTAGTTTGCACTGAGAGTTGAGAAAAGAAGTGAAAAATTTCTCACCTAGCTGTCGGAAATGCAAATTAGTGGGGGAAAAAACCAAACAAGCAAACACTTCTTTTGCACAATGCAGAACTGTACGCTCAAGGTCAGCAATGTAGGAATAAAGCAGATGAGCCTGATTTTCATACACTCTTCAAGCCAGTGCAGATCTGTGCAAAGGAGAGGATGAGATGGTATTCAATTCAGTGTGCTGAGCCGAAATTCACGCAGGACTGAACGTCGCAGTCCTTATTAGGCATAGTTCTCATGGTGGATGGTGACAGAGCTGTTTTTGGATAAATTCCATGTGAGCAAAATTATCCTTTTCTTCTCCCCAGAATAATTCTAGTGCTTAGGGGCACTTGTCATGGACCGTTCTTCTGGACATTGTACAAGCACTGAACAAAACAGCAATCTCTCAACTAAAGATTTTACACTGTAAGCACAATAAAGGAAACATTAAATGGCTGTAAGTGGCTAGGAAAGTAGGAGTGTTTTTAAGCTGTCTTCACAGAAGCTGTTTGTACGGTGAATCTAGCATATAGAAGACAGAAGCAGATGTTTTTTGTGAATTAGTTTCCTTACAGAACGGAACTATCCCAGATGCACAGGTGAAACTGTACTTACAGAGGTCACATTCCCGTCAACAATGCAACAATTTAGCAATTCACTGACTAATTTTTATAGTTTAATTCTAATTTTCATAGTTTAATGCAAAACTCACTTCTTAGGAACAATTCTGAGACTGGAATGTAAGCCTTATCTTTTCAAACCAGAAGTTGCACAAGGCAACTGCAGTGCAAGATGTACCTAAGTGCACGATAAAATATTTCATAAGGAAAAGAGAGTAGTCTTACATGTAAGAAAAGATGCTGCCTAAGGCATTAGTTAAGTGAGTTTGCATCAGATTGTTATTTGAAATGAACATTTACTGAGTAGAAAAACACGATCAAAAATATGCTCTCAGTTATTCTGACTAAAGATAAAACTCAAGCCAAGAGCAGTTAATTTATAATAAATAGTAGGTGGCATACTTAGAAAATGCTAGAAATTCTTGGAAACTGTACACCTCTAATATTCTGTTGCATCTTCTGTAGTGATCTTCTGTGCCTAGAGAAAGAAATTATTAAATATAAAACGGTGTATTCTTAAGTCAAATAACTCCAAGATTTTAGATTACCTTTGATTTTGGCATTCTATCTACAAAGCCTTGGAATACTAGGCTGTGATTATATCAGCGTTCCTCTTCAGTTGTTCCACTTGAAATTGTATCTCACATTTTCTCCAAATAACTACTATAAATTAAAACCAGCTCCTCACAGATGATTTTTACTGAAGCTCCAAATCATGGTAATTAAACTTTTATACCACAACACACTGCCATGTGTTTCCAGATACTGTTTTATAGAAACCAAAGGCAGGCTTTGTCATGTTATTTGTCCAAAGTTTTTAAAGGAAGATGCATATGAAAAGAAGTATAGTTGGGTGGGAAAGGCTTTCCACTCCACAAAAATTCTGGGATCTAAAAAATTTTCCTATTCCACATAAGGAAGAAATTGAAGTCTTTCGAAATTTTCCATGAAGAAAGCCACAGAGAGACCACCCCAGGATAGCTAATAAAGCAGTTGTCAGGGCATTTACTTGGGAAATGGGAGACTTAGGGTCAAACTCCTGCCTGACAGATGAAGGGACCTGAATATTCCTCTTCCTAATGATGCGCCCTAATTATAAGACATCGGAGTATAGTGATATGAAGTTTGAAGTTTGTGGTCTGTTTCCCTCTTTTTCTTTTAAGAAGTTTCATTTTGGACCAGAAGTGTAATTTTAACTAAAATTTTGTCGCAGTTGATAACTTTTCTGAAAAAAAGGTTGCTTTTAAGAAATTGGCATTTTCCAAAGAAACACAGCTGTCCCTGATCAGCTCTTATTGTAAGTTGTAAGCCAGAGGTTTTACGGCCAAGATCAATGGATTACAGCATTATTCACAAGTGGTAAAGTCATGCATAAATTAGACCTGTAATTTCAATGAAGCGTTAGTTCTGCGTATCTTATCAGTTATGTCTTGGACCACGCTACACAGATCCTAACACAGTACGCTAAACATGCAAAAAGTAAGAAAGGTGACTTTAGGCACATTATGTTAATGTCTATTTTAGTGAAATATGTGTAACTAGCTAAATTCTACCTTAGATTCAATTAAAAACTGGCTAGAAATGACTAGATATATGTTTGTGGACAGAGATATTTTTACTGTCATTAAACATACTGTAGTATCATCAGTGTCGGGGGCTTTCCTCAAAGGCTCTCATTTTACTAACATCTTGTTTCCCCTGTCTTTAAACTTCCTTCTATTTTAACCTAAAACCTAAAAAGCATCCTTCATCCAGGGGCAGCTTAAAGCCAGCTCCAATGCAGCATGATACAACCCCTTTTTCACTGGGACATTGCATTTACCCGCTCTCATGTCAGGAGCTCACCAGAGGCCAGTTACCTGCCAACAAGGTGCAGGTACTTCTTGCTTTCTGGGACACCGGGTATTCACCTCTCCAACTGATGTTTTTGGTGCCAGCATTCCACAAAAGTCTTTATTGCACATCTTTTACCAAAGTCTTTACCAAAGGTTTTACAACAAGCCACTCTTAAAAAAAAATCTTAAATCAGTGAAGAGTTACCATTTTCATTTTTTTTTTTGCACAGAGAGTAACAAAATATACTGGTTTTTTTGCTAAAGCAATAAAAAAGGGATCCAATACAAAACTAAAAACAAGAAAGTTAAATGAAAGCTGGTCAAGCTATTTTGCAGCAGGTACTAAAATTCATTTTTAGATATAAAATCAGGAAAAAATATAGGCAGCCTTAAGTCTCACCTTTGCCCCTTTGCTTTCTTATGACTAACTATAGGGTCATTTTGAATTGTTTTCTTCTTACTTAAGCACATTGAAAATAAAAGTTTAATACGAATGAATAAACTATAAAAGGTAATAGTTTGCATTTATTCAGAGCAGTCCTTTTTTGCAGACAGCACTTTGTTTAAAAGGACTTCTTTTTCCACTCAATATGTAATCTATTTAAAGATTAGTTTGACAGCTCAAAACTGCAGACATGACAACACACTAAATATTTGTATGCTCTTTTGCATTTTTAAGGTTTTCTCCAAACTACAGCTGATGAGTTTTGCTTTTACTATGCAAGAAAAGATGGTGGTGTATGCTTTCCAGATTTTCCAAGAAAACAAGTGCGAGGGCCAGCTTCTAACTCCCTGGACCACATGGAGGAATATGACAAAGAGGAAGAGATCAGCAGGTTCATAAAGATATTCATAAAGATAAATGTTGTTTAATCTGAAGAAAATAAAATCGCAAAGCCTGTGGTTTTCACAGGGAACCAGCTCAGTCTGTGCTTATGCTCAGCAGCTGTGTTTTCCAGATGGTACTTTCTGTTGCTGTAGCTGGTGTATATTGAAGAGAAAGTTACATTAGCTTCAATATCTCACTAACATTTTATATTTAAGTTGCTAAAAGGTGTTAGAATCTTGGCTTGATCCAACCCGTGGACCTTGGTTGGGGCCCATGTTGTGGATGATACCTCTTTCTAGGATGTCATTTCTACCTCAATTTAACATTACTAAGCAACTACGATAGGTTTATTATCAAAGTATCTATATTATGTTTTCCAATTTTTTTCTTCTGTTTATTTTTCACTGTGAAAATTATTAAATTAGACTGTAAATAAACTGTCTCATTATAAGTCACTAATGGACTTTTAAAATCAAATTTTGGAAAATCATAGAATTGCTGGAATTTACTGTGTTTACTGAACAGTAGATTTTTTTCTATTCATAAATATTTTTTCTCTCTGTTAAACTACATTTTTAAACTATATTTTAGTATTAGTCTACATTTCAGATCTAAGATTAGTTGATTTTCTCTTTGTATATATACAAAACAAATTTTGTTCAAGTGAAGTTCAGTTTGATTTTCAGTACTGTCTGCTTGCATGCATTCAAGGAAATGATTTATGCTGGATTGTATAGCTGTTTGTAAAATCATTTTATCTTTAGGGACATTATTTTGTCACGGTTACGAGAAAGAAGCCATTTCTCACTAGTGTTTAACTTTTTTTTTAGAAAACACAAGCACAACTGCTTCTGTATTCAGGAAGTCATGAGTGGACTGAGGCAGCCTGTTGGAGCAGTGCATTGTGGGGATGGATCTCATCGCCTCTTCATTCTTGAGAAAGAAGGATATGTGAAGATTTTCAGTCCTGAAGGAGATCTGATCAAGGAACCTTTTTTGGATATACACAAGCTTGTTCAAAGTGGAATAAAGGTTGGAATTTTTACTTATATCTATCTGCTTATATTTTAGCCTGTATCTAAGGAAAAGGGGAAGAAACGTTTTTGAGAAAAAAAAATTAATTTACATAATAAAAAGAAGAGTAATGGCAACAGTCACTGCAGTTCTATCTGGCAAAGAAATGAATATTCTTCCTTAGTTCATGAGGGGACAAGGTAGCTTCTTAGAATGTCTTCACATTTTTCTTTTTCCCTCCATTTTTTCCTCACTTCAAATTCAGAAGAAAATATACATCAGTACCACATAGCATTATCTTTGTATTTCAACCTTTGCGCTCATTTCCTACTGAATTCAGGTGAGTTTTGCTGTGATTCCAGTGGCAGCAGGTTTGGCTTGGTGCATGGTGTGACCTGCAGGTGCTCAGCAATGCCGCAGAAGCTGGAGGGCCTGGGGAGGCAAGCTGGGATAGGGCAGGGTGCTCTCTGCCTCTTGGCTCAGCCTCAGAGTGGCACAGGCTGCCTCTGACAGGAGGCTCCCATTTGTATTTGAGATGCACATAAGGAGTCACTTACCCTCTAAATTCAGATGTGAGGGTGGACTGGTATGACAGCTGTCGTACTGCTTAATGGCAAAAGTGATCCTGGCTTTTGTGAGCAGGGGATTGAATGGTGGATGGCCAGTGTTGGCAATACACTGCCAGGTGGAGGTAAGAAATCACATACAGGTGTGGGTAACTTCCACTAGAAAACTTGTAAGCCTGTTCAGTGCTATTCTACTTAGGAAATACCACAAATATTGTTCCATCTTGATTTTTTGTCAAATTTCAGAGCAGTAAAACCTAAGTAAAACCCAGATATATAAAGCAAATTTAAATTGTGACAAGGTTTTTCTTACAACAGTCACTACTGTATATCATAAAGTCTTAATGGATGAAAAATACATTGACATACTCTCGACAGAGTAAATTTAAATAATAATGATGCTGAACAACATTCAGAATATTAAAAATGCACAGCACATGCTAAGTGGTCTTTTTGAGTTTCAGCTATAAGGTCAATAAGCCAACTTAAGAAAATCTGAATGTTTTTGTTTTATGCTGAAACAGATAAGTATATGACACCTTATTAAGGAAAAGAAACAGTTGATGTGAATATGAGATATCTTGAACTCTTCCCTTTATGCCTGTACAGGTAGGCAGTATGTTTGAGATCCCAAAACAAAACGAACATTTCCGGGATCTTTTTGAAAGTCAATCTAAAGCTGATTTGTTCTTCTTATCTGAAAATTCTGATCATTTGTGTTTTTGAAAAACTGACACTGAGACGTTCTGCAGAAATCCTTTCAGTCCCAAATAAGCTTTCCGGGAGGAAACTTTTACAGCAGAAACTCAGAGGCTAAACTAAATGGAAAATGGATTTTCCATGCTTTTTGAATGGGTAATAGCCTAGTTGATAAGACTCAGCAGCTACCCTGAGATTCAAACTCAACTTCTTGTGCTGTTTTAAATCAGTGGCCTGATCTTTTTAGTCTCTTTACCACCCTCACCATCGTATAATACTCTAAAGCAAATCTGTGTAAATAATGTGATGTTCTCTAAGCTTGAAAATCTAATTCCGTTCCCTGAGATAACAGTCCAGTGCTTAAGGATAATTGTATTGCAGTGTTTAATGTAGGCTGGCAAGAACAGAGGCTTCACGTACTTTCAGATAAGGAGAAAGGGAATGTGCCTGGAAGCAAAACAGCAGTTTTTAAATAGAGAAAAGAATGTGATGAATTAGAAGTAGTAAATAAATAAATAAATAGAATAAAACAAAAAGCATATAACACAAATGGTAGTTTTAAAACAAATATTCTCAACATTTTTGTTTGTCCTCTGCATTCTGATTCCTATAATCATTGTCCAGTGTTCTTTACCTACAAGGATACAAGACCACTGTGAAAAATTAACCATTATTCCATCTAAATAAAATACTTGAAGATAATTTGATTTTATTTGCACTTTATACACTTTAAAACTAGAAATCAGTAATGGAGAATACTGTGGGGACAATTCGCTATCAGGTAGTGCAGCCAGGAATTTAAAAAGACATTATGTAAAACACTGCTTCCACATGCAAGGTGTGAGAACCACAGAATGCATCCCCTGTGCCTAGTCAAGACATGCTTCTAGAGTAAGGTAGGTGAAGCTGTATGTATGCATTTTGCTCAGCATGCCTTATTCTTTTATATACTGGAGCAAGTGAAAAAAGTTAAGTGTAATCAATGTCGTTTCAAATGAGCCTGATCAAACTTAGGTCCACATTTTCCAATGAAATGTTTTACCAAGGTAACATGGTGCATATTTTTAAATGCTCTGCTCATTTACACAAATTCATAGATGTTAACTCACACATCTTGTCAATTCTTCCACACAGTCTTATTTCTGAACTAATGTAGAGACTCTTCACTGAAATAAAAAAAAAAGAAAAAAGAAAACCTGTTCACCTCTTTTCCAAGTTTGAAGGAATGGTAGCAAGAAAGGGAAAATTATTCTTTTTCCATAAAAACACAGAATAAGGACTTTAAGTATTTTTTTTCTTTTTTATAACCTGTGCTAAAAAGAGCAGTTTCTTTTCATTTCGTACCTCTACCTGAAATATTAACAAACACTTCGCTCTACTTACAATAATAAAAAGAACACCTTTTCAAACCTTAGATATGTGATATACCATGTAAATGCAATGTAATATAAAGTGATACCCCTAAAAAGTGTTTTGGACAGCTATCACAGTAAGATATTTTTGTGATGATAGACAGAGTAAAACAGCAGTGGTTGACTTCATCTTTTTTTTCTAATTTAAAAAGGAAATTCAGGAGTGATAAATCATTACATTGTCACGGAGCAGCAAATCTGCTGTGTAATGATTTTCCAAAGAATATTCTTAAAACTATATTCTGGCAGATATATACAAGAAACAAAAATAAAATACATCCTTCATTAAAATAATCTTGCACTTCAGTTCTGACATCAGCTCAGTTCTAACATCATTTCCCTCATGACAGCTCTGGCAGTCAGATAAGGAGGTGTCACATCCCACCCACACGGGGAGGAAAAGGAGGACAAAGCATGCAACATAAAATAGAAGTGACTGCATTGTATGGAATTGTGCCATTATATTATCATAAGAAGATGCTAATTTGTTCTCTGGTGAACTAATGGTCCCTGTGTTGATGAAATTCATTTGGAGCCCCTAATGTTGCTGCAAGTGAGCTCCAAGGTCTTCACTGGTGTTCCTAAACTAAACATGCAGATAGAAGTATCAGGAGTTGCTTCTTAGCAGTCACTTCTATTCACGTCTTTGAAAGTCTGTGGATGTAAATGGAAATTAAGAAAAGTGGAACGACCTGATGCATGTCTTATTGTTCCACTGGCTTTTAATGATCCTTGTAGCCACTGGGTTCTGAGTAGGTGATTCAATTTTAAGGAGTTCAAATGAAAGAGAAAAAGTGGTAGCTTTATATGTTGCCAGTATCTCAGAGGAAATATGAGCAAACGTGGAAGTATTTCAAGAGAGAGACGTGTCTGGATGATCGTAGCTTGGGCTACCCCTATGAAGAAAGGTTGAGGGAACTGGACTTGTGGAGCTTGGAGAAGGCTCCGGGGAGACCTCATTGTAGCCTTCCAGTACTTGGAGAGAGCATATAAACAGGAGAGGGAATGGCTGTTTATGAGGGCGGATAGTGATAGGACAAAGGGGAATGGATTTAAACTCAGGCAGGGGAGGTTTGGGTTAGATATTAGGAGGCAGTTTTTCACACACAGGGTGGTGACGCACTGGAACAGGTTGCCTGAGGAGGTTGTGGATGCCCCATCCCTGGAGGCATTCAAGGCCAGGCTGGATGTGGCTCTGGGCAGCCTGGTGGTTGGTGACCCTGAACATAGCAGCGGGGTTGAAACTAGATGATCTCTGTAGTCCTTTTCAACCCAGGCCATTCTATGGTTCTATGATTCTCCTCAATGGAAATGAGGTGCAAGATTCCTGACTTAAAAAGAAAAGAAAAGAAAGAAAAAAAAAAAACCACAAAAAAACGCTCTGAATAGCTTAACAAACAATTTTTCTCTGCACATCTCCTAGTTGGTAATCCTTCTTGAAAGCGCAGTTAGCAAAAATGTCTTTTGGATCTATTTTTCAATTTTGTTAGAAGACATGGATGGATCTTAATCGAGACATTGCTAACTAGGCATATGTGGCCCTTGGTGCAGTATGTCTAGATGCACTGGACACTTGGCCAAATCCCTCCTGTCACCCTTCACCTTTTCTTTCCTGTCTCAAGAATGTGGTGAAAAGGAGGGAGCTGTTTACCTCAGTCCTACCCCAAAATTGAGTAAGAGCGTAAGTGGGGCATGCACCTGTAACTTGAATCTAGGACATGCCTCTGGGCTCAAACATCTTGGAATATATATCCTGGAAAATACTGTTCGATTCCATCACCTGTGTCCACTGATATTACAGGCTACCCTGAATATGTGGCCTATATGTAGAGAAATAAAATGAACGTTTACAAGAATAAGAGCCCATCCCCTAAAAGTATGCTTCCTTGATCTGTTGAATTTACTTCTCCATTACACTGTGGTGAAGACAGTTGTTAGTTATAGAGCAACACTGTACAGTTGCTCTTTCAAAATTATGTAACGAAGACAATTTTAATATGAAAACATTACTACCTGCTTTTTCTTTTGAACTGACCGTCATTGCTGCTGTTTCCTTTATATTTTAAACTATTAACAAGGAGAAGAGAGTAGCTTCCATGAGAAGCTACTGAACTAGTTAGTCCTTTGATTTCAGTGGTGTTTAAGGTGACCTTATAACTGGTTATCAACAAAACTTAGCCCTCGTCTATCTGAATCCTGTCTAATTTATATTGTTAGGAAGGCATCTAAGTGCGATTTGGCAACAAAAAAAGGAAGAGCCTGCTCTTCTCTTAGGAGGTACATGCAATAATCGCCTATCAAAATACTTTCTGAAAAGCAAAGTACCTCTAGAGCTGCAATT